CCCCCCCCCTCCCCCCCCCCCCCCCCCCGTCTCTCTGGCACTTTTCTTACTCCTCCTCTTGCTCTCAGGCTCTTCTTGTCTAAACCTTAAAAGTTTGTTTGGGGTTTCCGTCCCCGGCCCCGTGCTCTTTCTCCCTGGGAGATGTCACCCACTCCCCACTTTCAGCCATCATCACCCTTGTCTTCTCCTCTCTGATCTGTATCTTCAGCCCAGACTGGTCCAAATTTGGCTTCCCCCTCTCGCGTTCGGCTCCTCCTTCCCCCTCAACCAAACCCTTAGCCCCTCCTCCGGGAGCTCTTCTGAGTCCTCCCCCTTCGGTCGGTCGTCGTCCGCCGCCACGGGGCTCCAGTACCTCGCAGACCTGAGGAATGTAGTTTTCTTTGAAGTAGTTCCTCAGCCTCGGGTGGGCAGTGCGTAGCGAGGCCATGGTCAGAGACCTGAGAAGCTGCGTTCTGTTGGCTTCACCTCGCCCAGGCTGGGGGCTGGGCGCGTCGGAGCGTTGCCCCGGCAACCACGGGGCCGCAGCGCCCCCGGCAGGCGCGGGGAGGGAGGTGCACCTCGGGCGGCAGACTCGGGTGTCTCCGCCGGGCGCGCAGTCCGTGCGGCTCTTCCAGGAGCCCGGCTCCCAAGCGCTCGTGGCTTCCCTGTCCTTGCAGTAAAACAAAGAGCCGAGCCGAGGGGAGGTTCATGAGAAGGACGAGATCAGGAAGCCCAGGGGGAGACGGCGGATCGACCCTTGACTTGTGTGGGTGTATGGTCCGGAGCAGCCCCCTCTCTGCCTCCTCCACTTTGTTCAAAATCCTGGGATGAAAAGTTGCCTAAACTTTGTTGTCTGAGTCCGGCGTCACAGCGGAGGATTAGAGTTCTCAAAAGCAAGTTGATTGTCTCTCATTTTAAAGCTTGTTCTGGGCCTTTGTGTTACCAAAGGGAATCCCCCGACTGTGGAATCCCTTTGGTAACACAAAGGGATTGTGGGGCCTGGAGTGGTAGATGAAATTCTGCGTGCGGTTATCCTGGAAGAAGGGACGCCCGAGAGGCAGTTCCGCCTGCTCTCGGCCCGGCCTCTGGCAGGGGAAGTACCTAGGAATCACCGTGGTACAGGATATTGCAACTTGGTGTGGGTGTATTGGAACTGGTGCAGGATTAGGTTTTTGTCCAAAAGGACAAAAGGATTGGTACATTAAAACTCTAAAAGCCTTTAAACTCTAAAAACTTTAACAGTTTGCTGAATTTTCTGGAGGGATATTTCAGGTCATGGAAGCTGTTAGGTAAAATAATTAAAACCTCCTGCCATTCAAGAAACTCCTCTCCACACCTGTAGAAAAGAACAAAGCAGCTGTATTGTTGAGTAAGCGGTGGACCAGATTGCCTCGCACATCACAGGCAGTCTGCTAACGGGATTCCAGAATTCTCACCCCTTTAAGTAGCAGGATATTTCATACTACGTGTGTGTCCTCGAGATAGACGATAACTTGTCTTTAAGAGGACTTGACAGCAGTATTTGCTACACATAGTTCATCCTAAATTCACTGATAATTAGGATGGTTGTTTGTGTTAGCTAATTGTCTTTAACCAGAAGGAAAGACTTCTGTCTTTATGTTAAGCAGGTAGTTACAGCGTGGAACCAGGTTCCTAGGCTAAACTCCTACAAAGATGGGAGAGATTGGGGTTCTATCTTCCTTGATGCTCACATTTCAGAGTTGGCTCCCGAGCCCTTAAGAAAGACGTTCTTGAGTTATGAAACTGGCTAGAGGCTTACCTAGCTTTTAAAAACATTTACGTTTATATCAAAGAGACAGAAGAAGTGTGTATCAGATCTGCTCAAGGAAATGCTCTAAGAAAATGGAGTGGGGGAGAAGGTCTGTTTCACTTTTGGCACTAGAGACAATTCAGTTTTTGAATAAAAAAAGATTTGTATTCAACTTTACAAAGCCTAATTTGTTTTCTTTGCCCATGTCAGAGATATTTCTGTACAAGTAATTGGGAAGGTGGCCTGGGCTCAGATATCTTCTCTCATACTGACAGTCCGATGAATCCTGACAGTCTTACTTTTAAACTTAAATTACACAAAATTACCATTATCTTAGGTCGGGTACTTTACACAGTAAGTTGTTCACAGTCCTTTCTTCCTGAAATTGCACCTGCATCTTTGAAGAAGACTTGGGAAATGCCCATTTGTTATCATCGCCCTTAGATTTCAGAAGGTGAACTTTTTTTTTGTCTTAAACTTGAAGAAATTTGTAATTCCTGTACTGTTTTCTGTTTGAGAGCATTGAAAAAGGTGGAAACAGTCCCATTTCATCCAACAACTTGATACCAAAACCTGACAAAGATAGCTTGAAAAACTATTAACATGTCTCAATTATGGATAAAGGTATAAAAGTCTTAAATAAAATATTGGTAAATCAAATCCATATGGGGATTAAAGTAATATACCAAGGCCAAATAAACTTGCAAGGAGGATTCATATTGGGAAATATATTAATGCAACTTATTGTATTAATAGATTAAAAGCAAAACCACATGATGATCTCACAATAAAAAGGCATTAAATATCATTTCTGATAAAAGCTTGCAGCAAGTTAGGAATAAATAGAAGGAAGTGTTCTTAAACTGATGAATATCCATCAAAAACCAAAAGCAGATACATTTAATGATGAAACATTAGTAGCATCCTTATTAAATTCAAGAACAAAAGAAGAGTGCCTTCTATCAGAACTATTACTCAACATTCTCCTGCAGTCATAGCCAGCTTGGTAAGACAAGAAGAAAAATAAGATGCATAAATATCATTAAAAAATTTTTTCTGATGGCCGGCTAATACAGGTATTGAACCCTGGACCTTGGTCTTATCAGCACCACATTCTAAACAACTGAGCTAACTTGTCAGCCAAGATGCATAAACATTAGAAAGGAGGCAAAATTATAATTTGTAGGTGAAATAATGATTTGGACAAATCCAAGAGAATTAACTGCATAAATAAGTAATGAGTTCAATAAAGTATCATGAATGCAAATAAATATACCCAAATCAGTAGCTTCTTGTATATAAGCACTAGTAACTCAAAAATGTAATTAAAAAGGTTTCATTCACTATAGCTATAAAAACTTTAAAAACTAGGTGTATATCTAGCAGGAAGCCTATATGATGATAATTTTACAGAAGGAACTATGATTACATAAACAAAGATATGTTCCTGGTTGGAAAGATTCTGTACCATGACAGTTATCTTAAAATTTATCTTGCTATAATGTTATGATTTGGTAGGCACTTTTCATTCCCTTTGAGAATTGTAATTTCTCCTCCATTAACTTGAGATGATGAACCACTGAAGCCTAAGATTCTTTCACAATCTTATTGGCACAAAGCTAGAAGAAGCAGGACACATGCTGACCGCCTCACCATGTAATAGTCCTAAAACTTACCGGTAGAAGAGCTGGGTATTTGGTGATCACCCTCCTCTAAAGTTTTTAGAGTTTTAAATTGTTTTTATTTCTTTTCTGAAAAAGTAATATATGGCTTTTATTAAAAATTCAATCAATAGATAAATTAGAATTTACAAAATTAAAGTAAGAGGCTCATCATTTTAATAGATTAGGTGGAATGGTGGTGTGCAGGGTAGAGCAGTGGACTGGGAGTAAAAAGATCTGGAATCTAGAGCCAGTTTGTTTATTAATCAGTTGTGTGTTCCATTAATAAAAAATATAACTGAAATATAACAGGCACTCCCAATATTCTAGGTACAAAAATACTTTGAGGAAAGCAATGTTAACTCCCATTTCACGGATAAGGAAAATGAAGCTTGGATTAAGTCTCACTTGGTAGTAGCTTATTTGGAATTTGAACTAGGGAGTCAGGTTCCTTCGACTTGGCTTACTTTTAAGTGCCACACTGTACCTCCTCCCTTCAAATGAAAAATTCTGTGATTTAAATTTAACAGGGTTACCACTGTTCCCTAGTAAGATTTTATTTGGCTACTTATAAAGAATTCATATATCTATAAAACTCACTTTAAGTGGCTTTATGAGATAACATACAAGGAAATAATGCAATTTTGAAATCTCTTAGAAGTATGGATGAGTTAAATCTATCACATTTCTGCTGTGTGTGTGTGTATGTGTATGTGTGTATGTATAAAATTATACTTCAGAGCTGTGTAGTAACCTTTGGAGCCAGTTATAGTCTTAGAACATCCCTTTTATTTACATATGAGAAAACAAACCCAAAAAGACATTAAGTAGCTTGCTGGCAATTTCATATTTTCATTTCTCTGGTCTCTGCTAGTAGCTACCTGTGTAACTTCAGGCAAATTCTTAAATGATCCTGGTTTAAGTTTCTTTGTGTGTAAATGAGAGGTTTGGATGAACCCCAAATTCTTTCTATTTAAAAAATATGTGTTTTTATCATTCTTTCACTTATCAAGTGTTCTTTGAATGAAACCCTGTTTTATAAGGTGTAAATTAGTTCGGTAATGGATTCAGGAGTAAAAGCAGGGTTCAGAGGTCCTGATTATAAGACTTGGTAATGAGGTCTGCTGGCTTTTTTAGCTCTGAGGTTTTCTTAACAGTAGATTTATTAGGATATATCACATATTGTTTCCCGTAACCTATACTTGTTCCTTTCCCTCATATGTTTTGACTCCTCTTTAAGCACTATACTTAAGTCATTTTGTTACAGGAGTAATACATGTTTATTGGGAAAAAAAAAAGTTAGAAAGTACTCATGAGTATATGTGAGAAGATAAAAGTCTCTTGTATTCCCAATACTCAAAGATAACTACCTTTAACAAGTTTCTGTGTGTGTGTGTGTATATGTATATATATATATATATACACGCATTCTTAAAAAATTTTAAGTTACACATTGTCATACTTAAGGGGTACAGTCTGATGTGTTGATACATATATATGTTGTATAATAATCAGGTCAGGGTAGTTAATGTAACTGTCACCTCATGCATTTATCATTTCTTTGTGACAAAAACATTCAAAAGCCTCTCCTCTAGCTACTATATAATATACAAAACTTAACTGTTAACCATACTCACCCTGCTGTGCAATAGAGCACCAGAACTTATGCCTCCTATCTAATTGTAATTTCATACCCATTGGCCAGCCTCTCCCTGTCTTCCCTCCCTTCCTCCCTCCCCAGTCTCTGATAACTACTGTTATATTCTCTGCCTCTATAATATCAACTCTTTTCTTTTTTTCTTAGATTCCACGTATGACGAGGTCATGTGGTATTTGTCTCTCTGTGCCTGGCTTACTTCACTTATAATGTCCTCCATGTCTATTCATGCTGCCTCAAATGACAGAATTTCATTCTTTGTTATGGCTGAACAGTATCCCATTGTGTATATATACCACAATTTTTTAATCCATTCATCTTTAGTTGGGCACTTTGGTTGATTCCATGTCTTGGCTATTACAAATTGTGTGGCAATAAACACTGGTGTGCAGTTATCTCTTCGACATGTTAACTTCAT